CGTTCTGAAGCCTGTTGCTCTCATGTACTGTGTTCTGCCTTTTCATGTAGATTTGCTCTGAATAACATTTCTTTGCAATTTTTGCAATTGTGTAAGCCTTTACTTCATTTTTTTTTTTTGCAAGAGGCCAAGGACTTAAAAGCACCCAACTCAGACCATAAACAGTGAAAACACCCCTCTCAGATTAAAAGAACTGAACAGAATGGCCAAGTCACTAAAACTCCTTTGGTTGGAAAGGTTAAGCTCTTAATTTTTCCAGCACATTGTATGTGTGTCTGTGTGTGTGTGTGTGTGGGGGGGATCTTTAATACTAGTTTTGCAAGCAGAACAGTCATTCTGTCAGAAACCCTTTAATATTGTGGTCCCACAGTTAGATGGATTTACTGTTTTCCATAGCCTTTGCCTGCAGTATTATGGTGCACACAAGCATGTCAATGGTCCTGGGTGTCTTAGGAGAGAAACGATGGATTTAATTTTGTTAGTTTGATCTTCCTAGGTTTTGACCACAGAATCCTATAGTTTCATCAAACACCTAATAAACATCTCATAATTTGAAATATACTGGCAATCCATACTGTTTTCTAGAGGCCAAGAATTAATGGGAAGAGAATGCTAGTGTGACAATGCAGATGAGGGACAGAGAAGTGGTGACGTTGATGGGGTTATGGGGAGGGACAGCTGGAGCACTGTGGAATACGAGTAGTCTGCAGGAGGCAGCAGGGAGAAAGTCTGTGGCTTCCTGTGGGAAGCACCATCTTGGATCTTCAGTGTGGCTTTCATTCCTTACTTCCCTCGGCTCCTCAGAGAGCCACTGGAAGGCAGGTTGTATATCCGTCAGCCCGAGTGTTCTTGGCTTTGCCTCTCTCTAATTGGATTATTAGCAGATGGGAGTTTTTCTAGTGCCTTGGCTTCATGTCTTCCATTGTGTGTGGAGTGATTCTTGGGGATGGGGGTGGAGGGAGTCCAGTTGCATGGTTTCTCTGAGGCTGCCACTCCCATTCACATCTTTTATGAGTTTTAAGATCTTTAGGAACCAGGACTTTAGTTACCAGAGATCGTTCCTGTCACACATCCCACTGATGCTGACCATGTTGATCAATGAATCCAGTTCTGCTGGTCACTTCTGATACAGATCAACCAATATTTGAAAAGATAACACATTACCTCAGAATTTGAGGAAAAACTGACTTCTACTGCCGGGGATGACTGCCAGCATTTTAATCACATGCTTTACATTTTGAGTTGTTATTTGTGCAACAGCGACATCACATTTGTACCAGTGGACTCGTCATGTGTGGAGGATAGGATCAAGGCCTCTTGGAAATGTCTGCGTTCTAATGTTCAGAACCTGGAATGTGCTTCCATGCGTGGCTAAGGGAGTAGATAGATTTACAGTTGCCAAACAGTGGACTTGAAAGCAGGGAGATTATGCTGGGCTCTGCAGATGGACCCAGTACAACCTCAAGTGTCCTTAAATGCAGAAGATGAGGACAAGAGTCAGGTCAGTGTGGTATAATGAGAAGAAGAGTCAGCTGGCCATTGCCGGCTTTGAAGATGGACAAGGACCATGAACCTTGGAATTCAAGTTGCCTCTAAAATCTGGAGAAGCCTTAGAAAGTAAATACATAGAAATACTGTTGTGATTATTAAGAAGGCCCCTAGTCTTTTATTCTTGACTCTATTTCTCAGCATTACAGAAGCAGTTTCAGAGGTGTCTTATGCATTCCATCATGGCTTTTCAGCTATACACAATGACGTATAGGAATACACACTTTAGACACACACATACATGTACAGACAGTTGATTTTGAAACTATCACAGGGAAATGGAAGCACGATTCTCCTTTTTGTCACAGTTGTGCTTTTTAGATGGCTTTCCCAATGGAGTAAGCCTGCAGGTGGCACAATTGGGACTGGAGTCTGCCTGCCTACTGATGACTTTTCCCATTGTGTAAGTGGAGCACAACAGCAAGGCACCATTGGGGCAGGAAGGGGCAATGTATAAGGCCAGACTGTTGGTGACAGTATTTGAGAGTTCCGATGTCTGTACGTGAGTGACATTTGGGGACTTCCCATCTGTTCCAATCAATACACGCATTTTCAGTTGTATTCTTTTGCACCTAATGCATTTTCCACTTGAGATGTAAATTCTAAAAAAAGTGTTCCTACTTCCGTACTATCCCAAGGTTTGCCGCGCTAGATGGCTTAATAGTTTCTTTCTCTGCACCACATTTCAAACACTTTCCGTTGTTTTAGTCAAAAGACAGAAAACAAGTTCAAGAAAGAGAAAAAACTCATTAGCTCATGGAGAGAGGAAGTTAGAATCAGGAAACAGCAGAAGTCACCCTTTTAGTTTATCTTCCCCTTATGAGCTTCCGTCAGTGGGCTCCGACTGTGGCTGGAGACAGTGTCTGCTCCTGCGACAGTCGTAAGAAGCTCCTGCAAATTCCAAATTTGGCTTCAGAAATCCAACAAAGGATTCTGACTGCCCAGCTTGGATCCTGTGATCACTTTTGGATTAACCTCTGTGGCTCTTAATGACAGGTCTATCCTGGGTCTTCCGATCTCCTTCCGCGGCTATGTGTGGGTTCTGATTTGTTCTCTGGTAAAGGAGACAACATACGTCTTTCTGCCAAAAATTGTCATGGTATTATGGGGAACTGAGAAAAGACCAAATTAAAGAAAGGGGAATTCAGAGAACTCTGAGATTATTGATTGCTATCCCTTTGGTATTCTGAAGTTTTAAATGTGAGTAAAATTTAGGGCAGAATCAGGCACAGTCAATTCACAGGTGCATTCATGCATTCAACACATTTAGGTTTAAGACATTAAAAAACACCCTTTACTGAACATGAGCGCATTTCCTTCTCACCGTTTTCCCCTAAACATTGCAGTGCAACTATCTGCATACCATCTACATGGTATCATCAGTTGTCTAGAGGTGATGTTAAAAGTATGGGAGGATGTGTATAGGTTCTGTACAAATACTGTGGTACTTAGTATAAGAGACTTAAGGGCCCACGGATTTGGTAATGTGCGTGAGTGCATTCTGAAACCAGTCCTCTAGGGGAGACAGGCCACTGTTTCTAAACTGCACTCAGGTAACTTAAAAGGCATGGTTTGTTTCGAGAGCTTAACCCCCAGAAAGGTAAATTAGGCTGCAGAATAATACTGAAAACCCCTTTGTACCATGAAATGCTCCCCCAACAAGCTGGTGATTTTCACTTGCCACACCCACCTCCCCACAGAATCAGCTTCCAGACATCTACTTTCACAGAGCTTGCCTGGCATGGTGGCTCTGGCTGTTGTTTTCTGTCCCTCCCACTGGACAAATCCCTGTACTCCCCCCTCTGGCAATGGAACTGGATGGCATTTTGAGGCAAGCTGTCTCTTGGAAACTGATGCCATTTTGAGAGGCTGGGTTGGGATGCTGGGACAACTGGCATTCAGCTGAGTGGGAGGAGAAGGAGAAACAGCTTACCAGCTGCTGAGGAAAGTGTAATGAGAGAGCAGGGAGAGAGATACATGCAGAGAGAAAGAGAGAGCAGGCATGTTTGTGTATCAGTTCTCTTGCCTGTGATGCATGCGTGAAGGCCAGAGGTCAGTTCTAGGTATCTTCTTCTATTGATCTCCATCTTCTTGGTTGTTTTTGTTTGTTTGGTTGGTTGGCTGGTTGGTTGGTTGGGTTTTTTTGTCATTGTTTTGTTTTTTGTTTTTGAGATAGGTTTTCCAAGCTTGTGGTTTGGTTAGACTAGCTGGCCAGCAAGACCCACAGATCTGCCTGTATCTCCCAAACCTACTTCCACCATAAAGGGGTCGTAGCAGACACTCACCATCACACCTAGCTTTCTACGAGTGCTGGAGACCTAAGCTGACATCTTCACATTTGTTTTCACATCGAATATTTTGTCCACTGAGACATCTTTCCTAGCCCTCTAGAATCTTACAAAGGAGATCGACTGTATGCATTTGAAGACAAGAAAGAATGTCTCAGAAGCCAAAGTAGTAACTGATTGGGACATACAAAACCGAAGGACCAGAGAGCATCCCCTGAATCCGTGTGTCATAATCACAGTACGTTAAAGAGCACTCCTTACAAAGCTCAGGGGAGTGTGGAAGGCACACTGGTAGCTATGAGGCTTTGCCAGATGCGTGAGCACTCTGGACCCTGTGCCTTTATGTATGCAGTGTGGATACAATGTTCTTCTTAGCTAAGAGTAGACATGATGCACACAGAAGATGATGCAGTAGTAAAAATTCATTTCTTTACACAATCCTCTTTCTTTTTCTTCAAAACAGAGCAGAATATGATGGAAGAGGCTGATTCCTCACCTGAAAAAAATATTCACAAATGAAAAAATAAACCATTGGTTTTCTCACTATCATGCACCATCAGCATCCCCCGCTCTCCACGAGTATGGAGAGTCAGCAGCTGACAGGGCAGCATTTTCTGCCCTAAACATCCCCTTTTTTCTCTGGAAGGACAGCCAACATATGTACAGCAGCAGGTGGTATGGTCCAGCAATGAGTGCTGGATGCAGAATCAGCTCACCTAGCCCCAGGCTGTCCCTGCCATCAGCCACGGCATGTGTGTCCATTCCTGACAGTCATGAGATCCCATTCACTCAGTATAAAATGCAGTAGTGATGTGTTGCCTTCTGTTCTCCTATGGGTCGTTGTGACAGGCACTTAAATAGGAGACTAAAAATCAAATAAAGTGAGAAATGTGTTATACAAACTCAGAGATTTTTGATTAGTGTCAGAGTAAGTTTATCTGTCTTCTTGGGAACCCCAATACAATCCTCTCTCTTTATCTAGTGTCTCATGGTCAAATCTGGCACCTAGTAGATCAGGGCCCTTCAGGCCAGACCACTTGGAAATCTATTTTAGCTTAGGCCACTGCCACTTGGCAGCCTTTATCTATTCCATAGGAAAGTATGTAGAGGGAGTTTGAGCTGTGGTTATAACATGGAAACAGCCCAGCCCTCTCCAGTCTCGGAATGGGGTTCACAACCACCAGCAAGAAGACACAGGTAAGTACGGAACACTGAACTTGATAACAAGCACCTGATAGCCTCCAGGCACTGTGAGGGGCTAAAGATGGCACCTGGAGTCCAAGGCTCAAATCTTAGATCTAGGATCCAAGCAGTTACATCTTTTATGTTGTCTTACATTTCCTGCAGTATCAATGATGCTTTCTTTGGTTGCAGCGTGGTGGGGAGGGCTTTCTCATAGGAGAGGTACTTAGTGTGAGGATGGTGAGGCACTGTGAACTGTCAGTAACAGAGAGTATTCAACAATTCTGCAAGCTTTGTGGTACTCTCAGCTTGTGCAGATTTCAGACTTAGAGAGGGATATCAGACTCGTTCGTTCCACAAGCCTAGAAAACATTACCCTCATCTTCAAAGAGTCAGTCATTGTACCTGGTACTGCCTGCTCCTCCTTTTCTCTCAGCTTCTCCTTCAATATCCCCTTCCCCCTCCTCTTCATACTATCCACTGAAAGTGTATTTAAAAAATAGAGAGCTAGGGACATCACTCAGTGGACACAATGCTTGCCTTAAAAGCATGAGCAACAGTGTTTGGATCCCCGGAATCCGTAAAAAAAAGCCTGATGCTTGCCTCTAATCCCCATTTAGGAGACAGGGATGGCAGAAATCTCAGGGCAAGTAGGCTAGCTAGTCTGGTGAGAACTGGTGAGTTCCAGGTTCAGGAAGAGATACAAACCCCTCAAGAGACAAAGTGGGTAGGTATCATGGAAGAAACACAACATTAACCCCTGACCTCAGTATGAACATTGAAATACATACTACATGTACTGACAAACATCACACACGTACACCACACACACACACACACACACACAGACAAAAACAAACAAAAAAAAAACAAGCAACAAAGAAAGGGAGGTTTTCATACACACACAAAGACTTGACCCTCTCCCTTCTAAGTCACAATATAGAACTAGCTTAATTCACTTCTTAGCCTTAAAAACAAAACAGAGAAAGCCTGACAATAATTCAGCCACTGGGTTAAATAAACAATGGGCTTCAACAGGAATAGGGCCCCTCCTTTTCTCCCTCGCCTTCCTCCTAAGGCAAAGCTTGAAGGTATTTTTTTTTTCTGGGAAAGGATTTGTTGCTGACACAGAGAACAAAAGAAGACCCAAAGAGATGATTAATTAGGTCCTGTGTCCAGGCCAGGATTCAATAATGAACATTCATGAAAGAGACTCACATCCATTTACATGAAGAAAAGTTGAGTGTAAAATGGTTTTTGTAACATAAGCAGTTTGTATATGTGTGTGTATGTATCTTTGGGTGTATGTGCCTGTGTTTGTCTGCCTCTCTGTCTCTTTCTCTCTGTCTCCCCACCCTGGTGTATATATTTGTGTGTCTATTTGTCTCTGTCTCTCGCTATGTGTCTCTGTCTCTCTGTGTGTGCATGTGCCTATGTTTTTTTTTGTGTGTGCAGTAAAGCTGATCTGAGGTCTAACTGGCTATAAGCAGAAATTCCAGGGAGTGTGATGCTGGCACCAGCTCATTGGAATTTTTTGCTTTAGTTCTTACAGGCTTTGTGAACTTGGGTGAGGAGTAAATGAATAGCCTCATTCCTCAGTTTTCTCATCTGTAAAGTGTGGTGGAGGAAACACTCTCTACTCTGCATTGGAGTGAGGACCAAAGGCACTCTCAGGACAGAGCTCCTGGAGCACAGATTGATGTGCAGTGATTGCTTGAAGCCAGTTCTGTATTTGTGTGTTTAACCCCTCCCTTTAGTGGGAAACAGCACTGTAAAATCCATCTCAGCCATGTTTCCTTTTCATCTGGGACACACTGCAAGACTTGTACATCCAACTATCCTTACAACTTAATCCAAGCAAAGGACTGAGTTTGGCCAATAAAATATTAACCGAAGTAACATGATTTCTATGGGTCAAGGTGCTATTTGTCCATGCCACATGCAGTGTCCCAAACTTTAGTCCACTTTGTGGAAGAGGAGCTGGGTCTTTGAACGGCTATTCTCACTAATCTTATCTTCGGTCTTTGAGTCCTTTATTGTTCTCTGTAGCTACAGAATACATAATCTTTCCCAGAAAGAAACCTTTTAAGCCCTGCCCTTGGAAACAAGGAGTTAAGTTTTCATTGTCTTCTGCTTCCCACTGGAGGCTTGTTCTAGAACCTGACGATGTACCCTGATGGATACAACAGGAGTCTAAATTAAAACATACATGAAGTGACTTGGGACTTTGGTTTTTGCTCCTTGCTTCCTAAGAGTTGGGCACAGTAATAAGAGAATATATGGACTCATCTAATACGCACTGGCTGTGATTCAGCCCTGGCTCTTGACATCGAATCTTGTCTCTGCCGTACTCCAACTGTGTAATCTTGGACTAATTCCTTAAGTCCTCAATATGCTTTGTCATCTTAAAAATTAGGACAATATTCACGTGTTCTGAGGCTTGGATGAGAATGGCCCCCATAGGTTCATGTTTGAGTATTTGGTCACCGGTTGATGGAACAGTTTGGGAAGGATTAGGAGGTGTAGCTTTGTTGAATGTGACGTGACTGGTGGCAGGCTTTGAGGTTTCAAAGGGCTTAAACCATTCCCTGTGTTTTTCAGCCTATACCTTGAGCGTCAAGATATTATTCCTACTGCCATGCCTTTGCTCTGCCATCGTGGACTCTAACCTTCTGAAACCATAAGCCCCAAATAAACTTTTATAAGTTGTCTTGGTCATAGAATTTCAGCCTAGGAGTAGAAAAGTAACAGTTATATGCTCTTGAAATCATACTTTTACATTTTTTCTACAAAAAAATGTACTTCCACATACATCTGGACAATATATGTAAAAAGATACCTACTGAAGCACTGTGCTAATAGCTTAAAGTTGGGTCCCTTGAAGAGGTGAAAGTTAGGGGGCTGGAGAGATGGCTCAGAGGTTGAGAACACTGGCTGTGCGCACATCTGCAATGGATGGTCGTTCGGAACTGCTCCAGTTTCTTTTCTTTCTTCCTTCCTTCCTTCCTTCCTTCCTTCCTTTCTTTCTTTCTTTTTTTTTTTTTTTGTTTTTTTTGTTTTGTTTTGTTTTGTTGTTTTTTTCGAGACAGGGTTTCTCTGTGTCGTCCTGGCTGTCCTGGAACTCACTCTGTAGACCAGGCTGGCCTCGAACTCAGAAATCCGCCTGTCTCTGCCTCCCAAGTGCTGGGATTAAAGGCGTGCGCCACCACCGCCCGGCTAAGGAATAAGCAGATGTACAGCACGGAGTCCAATAATCTGAAGGCCCGGAACTCCTTCCGTTACAACGGGCTAATTCACCGCAAGACCTTAGGAGTGGAGCCAGCAGCTGATGGCAAAGGGGTCGTGGTAGTTATGAAACACAGATCCGATCAGCGAAAACCTGCCACTTCTTACGTGAGAGTCACCATCGACAAGAATGCTCGGGCTACCCTCAGCAGCATCAGGCACATGATCCGAAAGAACAAGTGCTGCCCTGATCTGTGTATAGCGGCCATCCGCAGGACCAGTGCCATCCTTTGAAGCCAAAAGCCTGTGGTGGTGAAGAGGAAACGGACCCGCCCCACCAAGAGCTCCTGAACCCTACTCCCAGAAGCAATAAATAGTACACTGACTTGTTCTACCCCCCCACACAAAAAAAAAAAAAAACGAACGAAAAAACACTGGCTGTTCTTGCAGAGGTGCTGAGTTCAATTCCCAGCAACCAAATGGTGATTCACAAGCATCTGTAATGAGATCTGGTGCCCTCTTCTGGCCTGCAGGTATACATGCAGACAGAATGTTGTATACATAATAAATAAAACAAAAAAAATTTTTTTAAAGAGGAGAAAGTTAAACAATCCATGATGTATCCATACTTCGGTATATAGCAAACTGCTTTTTAATGGGATTAAAAGCATCAGGCATGCTGATGTCACTGTCCTCATTGTATTGTTAAACACAGTAGTAAAATACATGGCCAAAATAGAGTAATTTTCCTTAGGTTTTTTTTTTTAAAGCGACTATGTACCTATAAACATGTAATACACATACATAGGAACTCTCATAGCACGTTTCCAAACCCACTTTAGATGCTTCAGAAAGGACTTTTGAGGAGGGGAGAGTAATCGACAGAAGATCCTTAGTTTTCATTCCAACTCTTCTATTCTACAACGAGGCTGTCACTCCTCTGTAACAAAATAGAAATGGTGACACATGGTGACACTCTCTTCACAGACCTACAGTAAAGCTAATTTAAGACAATATGAAAGAAAATTTGATATAGTTGATAGTTCCTATGAAAAGCAACTCATTTTTTAGTTATTTTATTCTTGAGTATGAATTTACCATGGCTAGAAGTTTGAACAATCTAGCCAGGGACTGTGGAGCCTTCTCAGGTGGCTATCTAGTTCTCTCTGTTTTGTTCCCTTGTTCCACTGGTGTTTTTTTTCTTCAGGTTTATCCTGTGGCAGCAACCCTGCCACTGCAGTCTGACTATCTTAGCTCATCCTTCTTACTACTCCTTTGTAAGAGGCAGAAACTTATTTCCCAACACCTTTGAAATCTGAGTCTTCTTTGTATCTGAGCCCATTCCTCTGGTGACTGTCCAGGCACTGCAGAGGCCAACACGGTTGTGGTAAGAAGGTGACACATTGCTATCAGAGTCCTAGAGCCCAGGCTCTGGATGCTCATGAGATTTGGAGGTTGACTTTCTACACCAGTTCTGCTGCCTTGTCCATCCAGCAGGCTGGAGCATTGGACACAGCATATAAAGAGAAAGCACGCTCTGCTCCATGATGTCTAGAGCTTTGCTCCCAAGCTTAATGGCTCATGCTAGCTCTTGGCTAAAGGCTTCCCTTCCTCACATCATCAGCTGGTCTTTCACACGGGCTTGGTTGGACTTCCTTATAAAATGGTGGCTGAGCATACTGAGAGAACATTTTCTGAATTAGCCTCAGATGTCATGCAGTTTGGCCTAGTTTTCAAGAGGAAGACACAGATTCTACTTCTTGATGGGAAATGACAATGTTCTGCATGGAGCAGAAATATTGTAACGTGCAATTTTGAGAGATATACCCAAAACAGTGTTTCACAACCTCCCTAATGCTCAACCTTTCAATACAGTTTCTCATGTTGTGGTGACCCCCCCCAACCATAAAATTATTTTGTTGCTATCTCATAACTGTAATTTTGCCATTGGTCATGGAACGCAATGTAAATATCTGATATTCAGGATATCTGATATGTGACTTCCAAAGGGAATCTCCACCCACAGATTGTGAACCACTGCTTTAGAAGTTCTGGTGTTCCTGGATGGGTAGATCATCGCATACCGACAACTTGCTGGCTAGTTGAGATCACTGGGGTTCTTGCCATTTATGAGACATACTGAAGACTGAATGTAGTGCTCATGTTTTAGCAGTTCTCCTGATTGTCTTTGTCTGGCAGGAAAGTGAAGACCCATAGCAAAGAATCATTGTCCACTGCCATGCCTCATGCCAAGCCACACACATTTCAAAATAAGTTCTGTCCTCAACAGGTAAGAGATTCAGTTGAACATATCTTCTGGCTTCCTGGTGAAGATGAATTGGATCTCCTGTCTCTCATCCCAACGTCTAAGTCCCTCCGTCCTATCAAGTTGATGAAAAAAAATCCATAATCATCCTTGGTGCTTCCTGCGCTAGAGCTGGAAGGAAGTCTTCCAGTTATCAAAGGAGTCTTCATTTCTGCAAGATTGATGCTGGTCTGCAATATCCATCTCTGTGTTCCGACACGTCAGAACATTACAGTGTCCAGCACGAAGCCACTTAAAGATTTTAAGCAGCTTACAGTGAGAGAAAACACCTTTGTTCTGCTCTGTGAATAGTGAATCCTCAATCAAGGAATTATGTCTTATATTCTACTCTTTTCGATTCTCAGGCCACTGAATAGAGAAATCAAAATTAATTTAAGGGATATTGAACAAGATACTGTGCTCTGTTCTTTCTGTTCTGAAATCAGCTACCCCTGGTCTCACTTTATATACAAAGAGCTCAGAAAATTTTTATTTAAAAGATTGATTCTTGAGAGCAACACATGAACTGAAGATGCCAGAAATATAGAAACATACCCATGTGTAAGCACACACACACAGACATACACACACAGACACACACACAGAGACACACACACACACACAGCCCTACCATCAAACTTCTGGGCTTAGATCCCCACATCCCTGACCTAGTGTTAAAGTTCTATACTACTGAACAACCAGCCTCTATGTACAGTGTTGTATTCTTCCAAAATTTAGCTGCTAATGGTTTCCTGTTTACTGCAAGCCTCAATGATGACATAAACAGTTTCTTAAAACCTATCTCATCTATTATCTGTATTATATATAAAGAGCATGAGAGAACTCTGTGATACTGGTTCCCGGAAATACCCAATTTACTGGAGAGTTGAACTACTAACCCAGAGATGATTAGCATCACCCAGTGCTTCAAGGGCATATTTGCAACACAAGAGATCCCCTCAATAGCAACAGGAGGTAGCCATGAAATTAGTCTTGAGGTGTAGTGTGTTCTGTAGTTCCTTGTATGCAGTTATGATCCAATTCTGTACCTATGTTTGTTAAAATTTTTCTCCACTGCACGTGACACCATATACTTTGTGTGTATAAGTTTTGATGTCTTTGCTTTTAATAATATATTTTGTGTAACTTTATGAAATCAAACAATGACAAAATAGATGGTTATCGACTTGTATTTTTGCTTTCATATCTTTGTCTTCTTTTGTATTCCTAAATTATACAGTGCAATTGGCTTCTCCAAAATAAAATCTGCAGATCCACAAAAATCCAAGCTTATATTGGTCAAGGGTCTGCTGCAGTTGTTGCTTGATGTTGCTTGACAGTACTGGGATATATATGTACTGGAGCCTCTTATAGAGATGGATATATATGTGCTGGAGCCTCTTATAGGGATATATATGTGCTGGAGCCTCACACAAGTTAGTCTACTGCTCTACCACAGAGCTACAGTCTCAGCCTTGAACCCTGGTCTTGATTGGTGTGGTGCTAGTACTAAGCTGATACTCTTACTTTACTGAAGTTCTACATTTTCTAATATTTCTGGTTGTGAGTCTAGCCCTTAACAGCTGAGCTCTCTCTCCAATACAAAGTTCTGTATTTTCTTAATTAGTGTAGGATGCTATAACAGAATCCTACAGACTGGGTAGCAGAAACAACTTTCCTCCTTTCTTCCTTCCTTCCTTCCTTCCTTCCTTCCTTCCTTCCTTCCCTCCCTCCCTCCCTCCCTCCTTCCTTCCTTCCTTCCTTCCTTCCTTCCTTCCTTCCTTCCTTCCTTCCTTCCTTTCAAGATGAGGTTGCATACAGACCAGGCTGGCCTCAAATTTGTTAGGTAGCTGAGGATGACATTTACTCTCCCCCTAGCCAAGTGCTGGGATCACAATTGAGTCACCAGTCTTAATTTATGTGGTGTTGGGGATCAAGTTCAGGGCTTTGGGTACATTAGGCAAACACTTTATAAACTGAGCTATACTGCTAGCCCCAACCAATATCTGTTTTCAAAGTCCTGGAGACTGGTAAATTCAAGAATAAGGTGTCTGCTGACAGCTTTCTCTGTAGTTTATGACAGAAATCTTCTCATTGTACTTTTTAAAGATCAAAAATAGAAAGAAGCAATAGTCCTTCTCTGCCTTTTCTCTAGTAATCTTATTCAGAAAGGCTCTGCCTATGTAATATTTGAAGGACTCAATTGCCTAACACTATTACACTGGACTTGAGATTCCAGCACATGGCTTGGAGCAAGGGCTGAGAAGTTAAGAGCACTAATTTCTCTTTCAGAGGATTTGGGTTCAATTCTCACCACTCATATAATGGCTCACAACCTTCTATAACTATAGTTCTACGAGATCCAAGATCCATTTCTGCCTCTGTATAGACCAGGCACTCAGACATATATACTAGCAAAACATCTGAACACTTTTTTTTAAAAAAAAAAGTTTTCAACACATGTTGGAAGGTTATTACACAGAAATTTCCTCCAGGATACACCTCTGTTTTGGAGAAAACCAGCATCTTTTAAAGAAGGGTAAAACATTCTATCCTACAGGGAAGCTCATTTATCTCAGGAAGAAAACAATCACAGGCTTCAGGAAGTACCTGAAACTGAATACATGCACCAGCCCATGCCCCCCACCCCACAGCTTATATAAACAATGAATACTATTGAGAGATACCATCAGACCAGCAAAGCCATCTGAAAGAGGCAGAGACCAAGACCAACTGAGCCACGTACTTCTAGGTCTCACAGACAAGCTGAGTTGCCTGGGCGGGGGGGAGAAAGCCAGAGATAAGTCAAGCTTCCTGGAAAAGGCTTAGAGCAACTGAGCTACCTGGGAAGGACAATCTCTAACTTCTTGAGCTACCTTCAAGTTGTGTGGTGTGCGCCATGCTCACAGCATTTGTGCAATATCACCCATGCAAGTCATTTTTGACTCCTGTAAGTAACCCATCATCAAGTTGCTGCAAGTAGCCAAAA